ATATTATATTAAAATGAACATTTTTAAATATCAAATTCACTTGCATTGCAATGCAAAAATACAAAACGTACGTCAGAAATGAATTTCTGCTTGATTTGCATGTTTTTTCCACCTCTTGATCCGGCTGAAGACTGCGGTTCCTGCTCGGTTCTCCTGAGGACGCCTGTAATTGTATTTCCTGTGTTGTAATGTAAAAGAGACTCTGTGTGTTCCTCTTCTTTCCAGGAATATAAGAGAAAAGCCCACATAAGTAAACAGAAACATGTGACGGCCGCGAGGAGACCAAACAGATGATGGATAGAAGCAGCAGAAGGAAAGGAAAGTGTTCTTAGAAAAGTGAGTAACTGGAAGTCTGGTGGTGAAGTCGGATCTCTGCGGTTTGATGGACACGAGGACCGAATGTGGACAGAACATGCAAAACGCAACCAGAAGCACAAACACACAGCATGACAAATCAGAAAGCTGTTCACTTTTGCATTTCTGTTTGATCTTGTAAATGATTAATTGGTGCAAATGAAAAAACTGCACTGTTTAAAATCCTTTTGGCCGGCACTAAGGATGTCTACATTACCTGGAGTTACACTCGCATTCACATTCAGTCAGCTTTGGAAGTCTTGCTGCCCTCCTTGAAGTTTCTGAGCCAATCACCTGCGCCGTAAACGTCATGTGACTAATGACTGGCTGATGACGCCACAAGAACACACACCGTCTCAAGCAGAAAGGAAACGTTTAAAGGGATAGTTCACCCCAAAATGTAAACTCTGTCAGTAATGACTCTCCCTCATGTTGTTCAACCCCGTAAGACTTTCGTTCATCTTCGGAACACAAATTAAGATATTTTTGATTAAATCTGAGAGCTGGATCACTCCTCCATAGGCTTCTTAAGGCATTGAAACTGGCCGGCCCAGAAAGTTAGTAAAGACAATGTTTAAAATAGTCCGAGTGACTACAGTGGCTCAACCTTAAGTTTATCAAGCGACGAGAATACTTTTTGTGCGCAAAAACAAACAAAAATAACGACTTTATTCAACTCTTCATTTCCTTCTCCGTGGGCCGTGAGATTTCACGTAGTGTAACAGCGCAGCGCTTCTGGGTTGTACGTCACACACACACACACACACACACACAAACATGACCAGCGTCGGCCAATAGTGAGCCTCCGTGTGACGTACAACACAGAAGCGCTGCGCTGTTACACTACGTGAAATCTCACGGCCCATAGAGAAGGAAATGAAGAGTTGAATAAAGTCGTTATTTTTGTTTGTTTTTTGCGCACAAAAAGTATTCTCGTCGCTTGATAAACTTAAGGTTGAGCCACTGTAGTCACTCTGACTATTTTAACGATGTCTTTAATAACTTTTGGGCCGGCCAGTTTCGATCCATTAGAAGCCTATGGAGGAGTGATCCAGCTCTCAGATTTAGTCAAAAATATCTTAATTTGTGTTCCGAAGATGAACGAAAGTCTTACGGGGTTGAACAACATGAGGGAGAGTAATTACTGACAGAATTTACATTTTGGGGGGAACTATCCCTTTAAGTCCATTCTGTCACACATGCATAGAGAAATGATATTATTTCGTTCAAGTGCTCTGAGACACCAGATAATATCGTGGGTGAAAAGAGAAAGTCAGGAAAAAGAAACTTTTGTGTTACATTAAGACAAAAAATATTACATCTCCATTGATGATTTATTCACAACCACTGTTTTGATGGATGTAAAGGAGCTGACATGTAGAATAATGAACTCTCCACAAGGTGTCAAAATAAAAGTCCTGGATGAGAATATGAGTCTTCTGCAGTTCAAGTCAAGATCTCAGATACATCAATTACGATCACACCAGACTTGAGTCAGTAAATCACTTTAAAACGACTGAATGTCACTGAAATTGATTAAAAAAAAAATATATATATTAAAGAAAGGCCGCACAATCTCACATCGAAAGCAAAATATTATAAAATAATATCTGTTTGTCCAACCAATAGCAGACGGTTTATTGTACTTCTGTCTTTTCAGTCCCAGTATTTAACTGGGAACCGTTTTCATGTCCATATTTCATAATTTTCTTGTTGTATCAGAATACTTAGAATGATAGATAATAACTGAATAATATAATAATGACACTGTTGTCTTCTGTAGAGCTGCTTATATCTGAACTGAACTTGACTGAAGAACTTCAACATCGATCGACACAGTTACTGAACTGAATCAACATTGAACTGAATTGTCTTCAGTAAAGCTGCTTTACAGCAGAATCAAATTTGAAATAGAATTTTTCAACATTAACTTCATGTTCATTCCCGTGAAGATAAATGTTGCTGGTTATGTCACGATCCTGCCATAGAAAAGCACCAAAAATGTTCATTCCAAAAGGGCTTTATTGATGTTTAATTCCTGTAAAATCAAAGGTCAAAGTGTGTGTGTGTGTGTGTGTGTGTGTGTGAGGTCACGCCGTCTCGTCCTCTTCCTCTCTCTTCATCTCCTCGATCAGCCTCTTCCTCTCTTCAGCTTGTCTCAGTCGCATCAGCACCACACTCTCGTAGTCACGCTCGTTACGTAGACAACTCTGAGAAACACACACACACACACACACACAGATGATTTAATGAAAACACTGTGTTTTTGACATTTGGCTGAGCGTTACATTCACACAAATGGAGTCAGGAAACCTGGTCAAGTCAAGACAATTGTATTCGTTTGTATTTATTTCGAAGCAGCTTTACTGAAATCCTGATGTAAGGGTTTATAATGTCTCACAGTCACATTCATCAGATTAGAGCTGGGCGACAATATAGTAGTAACATTAAGAGATGATATAAACAATCAAGCAGTTGAGATTTGCTGTATGGTATCTATCTGAATGTGAGTGAACTGTGTGTTAGTGATTCTTGAGTGAATATTCTTGAATGAATCGCACTTTTAAGCCGGTTCACAGAATCAAACATGAGCGTGTCTAGAAATAAACGAATCAAACCTACAGGCAGAGTTGAGAGTCATGTTCGACTCAAAAAGAATCGAATGAGCAGCTTCTAAATGTTGAAGCTTCTTTTTGATTGGTTCATTCTGAACGGGCTCTTTGGTTCAGTTACCCTCATTGGCTCATTCTGAACGGGCTCTTTGGCTCAGTTACCCTCATTGGCTCATTCTGAACGGGCTCTTTGGTTCAGTTACCCTCATTGGCTCATTCTGAACGGGCTCTTTGGCTCAGTGACCCTCATTGGCTAATTCGCTGTTACTTCAGAAGAGCATCTTGAATCATCAACCTGGAACTAAAGTTTGATTCAGTTCAATTCTGTGAACCGACTCAAAAGAATGATTCGTTCAAAAACCGAACATCACTACTGTATGTATGCGGATAAAGTAGATACAACATACATCAATTTGTATACATAGAGCTGGACAAATCATATACATGGACAAATATACATTCATGATATAAACAATCATGAATCAGAGATTCCACAATAGGTTCTTTATAAAGAAAAAGTTTCTGAAAAGCTCTTTTAGGCAAACCTAGTTCTTCTATGGCTTTGCAGGGAAAACTTTATTTGGAAGCTTTTAATAGTGTATATTGTTTTACATGAGTGTACTGTTTAGGTAAAGTGAAGAACCGTCGTCCTCATGAACGACCTGTTTTAATCACGAACGACATTCAGAGCAGCTGAGCTCAGAAATCTGACTCAACATTGAGGATTGTGTTGTGTCTGAGCCAGTTTGTAGAGTTCCTGTTGTGTTCTGGGTCACTGATTCAGCATTAGATCATCGAGAGACACTCACAGCATCTCGTTCAGTGAAACAGATGAACTGCTGATACTATAGAGTTTGTTCTATGCAAATGTAATGTGGTGAAGTTTACTTGGAATTTTCTACACCAAAACATTTTACATCCATTTTTTTCAGTGTATAATCATGTGCTTCAATGTTAAAACCCCAAACCCTCAGCATGAAATGCATAACAGGTTTTCATCTCTAAACGCTCTTGTTTGTGCCTCAGATTATGTATCTTTGCTTCAAACAGCTCATTACCGGTTCAGAAAGAAATGATAAGCAACTATAATGCGCTCAACAAACCTGGAATGACTTCACACCAATTAAAGAGAATTAATCAACACACTGGTCAACCAATCAGAATCAAGAATTCAACAGATTCTACTCTCTGTTAAACTGTTTAAGACTTGCTTATAGGGTTTCCAGCTTCAGAAAAGAAAAATGCGGGATAATCGTGGTTCTTTACAGGAAAATAAGGGACACTCAAAATATTTGTACTGCATCACAGTATATGTCCTTTCAGGTTCGTATGTGTTTAAAAGGTTCTCAGACATAAACACATTTGTTTTGCTTAACCTATTTATGTACAATTTAATTCTAAAACGAATTTTAAGGTCACACAAAAAAGTCACATTACACACAAACCATAGTTCAAAAGTATAACATTTATCTGAAATAGAAAGCTTTTGTAACATTATACACTGCATTTTAAAGAAATTAAAGAAAGTAATAGCCTACTTTTATTCAGCAAGGACGCATTCAATTAATCAAAAGTGACAGTAAAGACATTTATAATGTTAGAAAAGAAGATCTTTTTTTTTATTTCTGATAAATCTACTTTGAACCTTCTATTCATCAAAGAATCCTGATTTTTTTTTTTTTTTTTTATATTAATAATAATCAGAAATGTTTCTTGAGCATCAAATCACATCAGCATTATTCCCTCAGGAAGATTTCATGTTTTCTTCGTGGCTGGATGTCGGACTCATGAACAATAATCACGTTGTTCGAATTCACCAAAACTGATTTGCCGAAATCAAAACCCGGCCGAACAGTGAAAGGGATTCGCCGTTAGCGCGAGTCCGAATCGAACCGGGAGCGACGACAGCAGAGGATTCTGTTCGCAAATCAAACAATGATTTGTCCCAAAAGAATAAATAATTCTCAATGTAGAGGGGAGCGCTGTGATTGGATGATGACCGTGCGTGTTGCTGGTGTATCAGTCAGTGGTTAGATCAGCAGTCTATTTAATCGGGACAAGGGAGGTCCCTTACGGCAGGGGTCCCCGGTACCGGTCCGTGGGTCATTTGGTACCGGGCCGCACAGAAAGAATAAATAACTTACATTATTTCCGTTTTATTTATTCACACATTTACCTGTTCACATATCGTGTCTTTTGCGCGCTCAAGTTTGTTATTTCAAATGTAGGCGTATGTGCGTATACACGTATGTGCGCTCATAATGGAAGCGACGCGCCCGTTTTTTCCAAGCTCGTCCGCGCCGCATCGAGATAAAAACATCTCAACTTTTCAGAATGCCGCAAGCGCACTGCAGGTCACGTGACAAGAACCAACCAATCATCTTCCACACTGTAAACTGCTGCACTAGTTACTAGTAAAAAATATGTTTACTAAAAATATTAATGCTCACAACTGATTCCTTGTTAAATCCATCATTGTTTATACAGAATTGTTCTATATTCTATATATAAATGTGTATGTGTTTGCTATTTCTGGTGTTTTATGACCACTTCAGTTATAGTCTAACCTCAGACAAATACAGAGCCGTTGCCTAGGAGAGATAAGTTAGTTTCACGGCAGAAGCTCCGTTTACTGATGCTTGGGCCAACTTTTCTTAAAATATAATCAAACTGGTCCTGGTCCACTCTGAAATAGGCTTTGAACCTCCCATTGTCCAGGCGGAGCTCCTGAATCCGCTGGTGAAATTCCCCATGGTTTTTGCCGCGTTTTTAGGAGCACCTTAAAGGCCGGTCCGTGAAAATATTGTCTGACATTAAACCGGTCCGTGGCGCAAAAAAGGTTGGGGACCGCTGCCTTACGGGACGAATAAATTAGGCCCAAAATACGGGACGTCCCGGCTAATTCGGGACAGTTGGCAACCCTACTTGCTCATATGATCTTAAACTTCAATATATGTAATTTTAATAGTAAATTAGATTTTAGTACTCCAAAAGATTACATGACTTAATTATTAAAGCAACACCAACTTTTCCTCTGCGGTCGCCCTACAGGTTGGAAGTGGAATTGTCCATTACCGCTGTGGTAAATAATTTAGCCTAGCGCAGCCGACGCCGGCTTTGGAATGAACGATGTCCACAGACAAGGTAGAGTACGCTGCAGGATTTCATGAAAGTATGATGTATTCCGACATCAGAAACGAAGAAAAACAAAATAATGACTATTGTAACGCTTGACGTAAGGCAAGTCAAATTTGTAGTTTTCTTATGTTTCATTAGAACTACAGAAACTCGTCCCGATCTGGCAATCTTACATAGCGTGGTTATAGCAGATACAGGACCGCAAAGCCAATCCAGAAGTGCCTTTCACCCTGTTACGACTTGATGAACCACTGAAACGATTTTGGAAACATTATTTTAAGGTAAAAAATCTTACTAAGTGTTGCTTTAATGCAATAAGCAAAGTACTCACGCTCACAGAAAGCCGACTCTCAGATCGCACGAGATCCCGAACTCAACAACAGTTAAACACAGTCAGGAATGTGTTCAATGGAGTAAACAGCTGAGAAAGAAAGCGTGTGTGTCAGTGTGTTGTGTCCGTGCGGCTCTTAAAGTGACAGCAGCCTAATAAACCTGCGTCCATCTGTGTGCTTAAAGGGACAATGTGTAGGAATTTCTCCCATTGTATTTTGGTGAAATTGTATTTTGCATTCAAACGAATTGTGCTCTCCAGCGCCTCGCTTTTTCAAATGTGTGTTGTATCTACGGTAGCCGTTATGTACCAAAAAGCTATGACAGGATGTCTTCTAATAGCACCTCGTCGAGTGCCTAGTACTTTATGTCCCTCTCTGCTATTATAGTTTTTCAAGATGGCGGAACGACATGGAAGCCTCCGTGGACCTACCCGTCCCAAGTATATAAAGATAATAAATTCTTCATTTACGAGGATAAGTCAGATAATTGCCAGAGGTATTTGTACACCATTGAGGACATATTTATGAATAAAAATATTGATTTTAGATAATAAAATACCTAAAAAAGTACGCATTGTCCCTTTAATGTTAATCAGACAACAGAAGACAGAGAAGATCACTCACTGCTCTGGACTCAATAACTCAGAATCAGTGTATAATTAATTCATACAGTGAAAACTAAACAGTATTTTATTTTTTACATATGATTATTCAATTTCTGTTGTTAAATACAGCTAATGTTAAATATTGTCATATCAAATTTTATTTATTTTATTTTAATAGTATGAAGTTGCAACCCATCCATCATCGCAAAAATCATTCATATTTGGCCTAAATATAGCCATCAATCAGTACTGACTAAATAAATGTCTAAATAATTACATTCCTAAATACATTTTCTAAATTAATTGCAGCATTTTAAATACATTTTTAAATGAACAAAATCTCTAAATGCATAAATAAATCCATTTCTAAATAAATAGCGAGCCAAAATATGTCATATAGCAGCATCGCTTAGCTCTTCTGAGCGATGTCTGTGAAGAGAAGGATCCTCACAGCGTTGAAGTGTGTGTGCGTGTCTGTGGAAACTCAGACGAGCAGGAGAGATGAAGAGAGAGTGATTCTGCA